CCCACACTGCTCAGTTTTGTAACTGCCCCCCCACACATGAGTACGACAGCCAGAGGAGTCCCACCTGCTCCACAGTCTGCCTGCCTTGCCCTCCAGGTTAGGGAGGCAAATGGGAACAGAAGAGAGAAAGGAAAGAGAAATGAAGGAAAGAAACCCCAGGAGGAATGTCAGAAGGAGGCTGCACTCGGGGACCAGCAAATGGTGTAATGCCTGTGTCATCGCTGGACTCCCACATAGTCAACCACAGTTCAAGTCCTGGACCCAGCGGCTTAAACTCACTCCAGGCATGTGTGCATGCGTGCCCAAGATCCCAAGAGGAGAATGGAGGAGAAGGGATTGCGGCGTGGCCATCTCCCCTGGGGGGTGATTTCTCACTTTCTGTCTCTCTCTGTCTTTCCTGCAAGTGCACACCTCTTATAGCAAAAAACTCTCTTTAAAACAAAAACAAAGGAGGCCACACTCAGAAATGTGTGGGCGAAGACATCCCAGAGGGGGAGGCGGGTGCCTTCCCTGGTCCCGCCCATCCCCAGAACTGGATGCGGGCCTCTCAGGGTTTACTGGTTGAGGAAAGAGACCTTAGGTAAAGCTGGTCTCAGCAGAGTGTGTGGCCAGCCATTCACGAATGGGCAATAAATGGTCCTGTTACTTGTGGCTTCCTGCCCTTCTGTCGTAGTGCTCGCAGTGGCTGTGACTCTGGGAAATTTTGCATTTGTAGGGATGTGACAAGAAAGCCATGGTGTGGGACATGCGCTCCGGCCAGTGCGTGCAGGCCTTTGAAACGCACGAATCCGACATCAACAGTGTCCGGTCAGTGAGTACAGTGTTCACGTTACTTCTCTGCTCTGCAGGCGGGAGCTAACCCATACCCACAGAACTAACCCAGTCTCATAAGAGAAGATGTCAGTTCTCCTTAAAGACCTAATAATCACCTCTAAAAGGCACCACCACCTCTCAGCACTGCTACGTGGGGGGAGGGGGGCCAGTTTTCTACCTGCATTTTGGAGACAACAGACCATACTCAAACTACACAAGACCCAATTCTTGATAGCAGAGTCTCAGTATAGCTTTGTAAATGACCATTCATTCTATGTAGAGTGAATGCGGTCCCAGTGAACTTGTTTCATAGAATGATATAAATCAGTTGACAGATTGTATAGGGACTGGTTTGGTGAACCACGTTCAGGAATCTTCCAGAACAAACTCTGGCTTCAGAGTCACCCAAGGTGTGGTCACAGTGGGTATTGTCACTGGTCTCGTAGCACGCCCTTAGTTATGTGCTGGATTAGTTACCCTTCAATGACACTCTGCAAGCCCAGGGTCACTGTTCCTATTTTCCAAAAAGAGGGATGGGGCCAGTGGGGCTACCACATGAGTCTCCCACCAGCCTCTGTAACAAGTGCTGCTCATGTGCCTAGGAAGAGAGACCCTGATCCCGTGGGCCCAGCATGCAACAGCCTTTCCAGATGGTTCTGATAGGCACCTGGGGTTGGGACTGGCCCTTGTACATAAAGTGCTTTCTACCCCAACTTTCTCTCTGCAGATACTACCCGAGTGGAGATGCCTTTGCTTCAGGGTCAGATGATGCTACGGTAGGTTTCTAAGTTATTGAGAGCTTTTCCTACTTGAAATAGAGATATGTTGACTTAATTCAATTAATTAATTAATCAATCAATTTGTAAGGTTTTTGCTATAGGGCACGTGCATGCACCAGAGAGATAGAAAAAAAAAAAACAGTGAGAAGGAAAGTGAGAAATCACTCCCCACGGGGGATGGCCATGCTGCAATCCCTTCTCCTTCATTCTCCTCCTGGGATTTTTGGCACGCACGCACATGTACCCAACATGAATCTCAAGCCACCAGGTCTGGGACTGGAACCCCTATCTGCCGTGTGGGAATCCAACACCTTAACCACGATGCCACCTGCTGGCCCTGTCTTAATTTTATTTTTTAAAAATCTTTTCTAGTTACAGAAGTAGTGTGTATTCAATGAAGAAAATCCGGGGAGGGAAATTACATTATCTTAATCTTTCTATGCAAGAAAAATCATAAGTAGCTGAATTTCTTTCTGACTGTCTTTAACAACATGCTCTATAATTTGCCTTTTTTTACTCAGCAGATTATGAACATTTTCCCATGCTGATACTTTTCGCCATTATATTTTCTGTCTTTGAAACATGAAATATGCTTAACAGAGTTTTATTGCTTTGATCTCTGCAATTTTTAAATAATTATTTTTTATGTAATTTATTTATTTATTATTATTACTTTTAAATAAAAAAGAGCACGTGTGCTCACCAAAGAGAGACAGAGAGAGAGAGAAAGTGAGAAAGCAAGCCGTCTGGTCCAGGACTCACACCACAGTTGACCATGTGGGAGTCTAGCACACTAACCATCACACACCACCTGCTGTCCCCTGCTGCAAGTTTTTGTTCTTTTTGTTTGTTTGTTTGTTTGTTTGCCAGAGGGCAGGTGCACTCACTGGAGAGAGACACAGGGGAGGAGTGAGAAAGTACCCACGATGGTGCTTGGGGGATGATCAGGCCACAATTCCTTGTCTTCCATCTCTCCCTCCTTTTGGGATTTTGGGTACACGTGCACACACACCTGGTATATCTTTCAAGCCGCCAGGTCCAGAACTTGAACCTTGCACTCAGCCACATGGGATCCAGCTGTCCCAACCTCCAGATGGCCCTCCATTATATTTTTTTAATGATTAAATAATATTCCATGATATGGACATGCCATTGCTTATTTAACTAGTCTTCAATCTTTGCACATTTAGCTTTCCTCAAGGGTTCAATTTTCCTTTTAAAAACATTGCTATAGGGACCAGCAGATGGCAGAATGGTTATGTTGCTGGACTCCCATGTAGTTGACTGTGATTTGAGTCCCAGACCTGGTGGCTTGAAACTCATGCTGTGTACACATACATGAGTGCTCAAAATTCCAAGAGGAAAATGGAGAAGGGATTGTGGCATGGCCATACCCCCTGGGGGTGATTTTTTACTTTCTGTCTCTCAGTCTCTCCAGCGAATACAACATACCCTATAGCAAAATCTCTCTCTTAAAAAAATAAAACTTGCTATAAGTGAATATTTTTGTATCTCTTATTATTTCCTTATAATTCTCAGGCATACATCAATGAGCTGAAAATAGACCTAGTTTTAAGGCCTTTGATACTAACTGCCAAATTATGTTTACCTGTTTTTCAAGAGAAAAAAATATATTTTCTTGCTGCCCTTGAAATACCAGATATTTTATTAAATAATGGGTTTCAAGGCCAGCCCCACAGCATAGTGGTTAAGGGAGCTGGAGCCCACATTGCTGACTGTAGTTTGAATCTAGCCTAACAACCAGGTGTGTGTGTGCCCATAATCTGACGGGATGGAGAACCGGAGGAAAATTACTGCTTGGGAATGCTTTCTTGCTCTAAATTTAAAAAAAAAAAAAAAAAAAAAAATGAGTTTTAAAAAATTGTGGATTTGGGGGCCAGGGAGTGGCATAGTATTAAGGCACTGGATTCCCACATGGCCAACTACAGTTCAAGTCTTGGATCAGCGACTTTAAACTCACACTGGGCACATGTGCAAGCATGCCTAGAATCCCAGGAGAAAAGAGAAGGGATTGTGGTGTGGCTATCCCTCTGGGGGGGGTAATTTGTCACTTTCCCTCTCACTGTCTCTAGAGAGCAAGCATACACACCCTATGGCAGAATCCTTTTTTAAAAATCACGGGTTTTATTCTAATTTGCTCCTCTGGAAGCAATTAAAAAGGAACAAAGGGAGTGGTTCAATAATAATAACAACGTAAAACTTGTGTGTGATAAAATGCATGTAACAAAACAGAAGATCGTGTATTTGGGAAAAATTCTTCTTGTCACATAAATGATAGCCTAAGATGAAACCCTTTAGAATAAATCAAATAAATACGGTGACAAGGTGAATAAGATGAACACCCTCATAAAATAGAGGATAAAGTCCAGATGACTTAGAAAACAGGTAAGTCCAAAATATCAAAGCAACACCTGAAAATGGTATCTAAGTCACGTGTAACCAAAGGAAGAAAAGTTTAAGCTCAGATGACCATTTTGCTCCTTGGGTTAGCAGAGATACAAAGTGGGGAAGGAAAAGAACCTCGGTGAGCTGGGGTCAGGGTTATTGGTGCCATCCTCTGAAAGGTAGATTCGCCTTATGAATCAAGAACATTTAAAAACATTCCTGCCCTTTGATCTAGTCATACTATTGAAACAGTTCTATCCTTTTTTGTTGTTGTTGTCTGAGAGGTTTTTGCTATAGGGCGTGTGTGCTCGCCAATAGACAGAGAGAGACAGAGAGACAGAAAGCGAGAAATCACACCCCCCCACCGCCGGGAGGATGGCCACACTTCTCCTCCATTCTCCTCTCGGGATCTTGGACATGCACACACACGTGCCCAGTGTGATTTTAAGCCACCGGGTCTGGGACTCGAGCTGTGTTAGACTACATGGGAGTCCAGTGACATAGCCGTTACACCAACTGCTGGCCCCAGAAACAGTTCCATTCTAAGGATTCTATTCCTTAGCTACTCTAAGTATTAGAAATGTGTATAAAGAGTTTTATATAATAGTAGTCATCATAATATTATTTATGTAAGAGAAAGCTTAGGTATAAAACTTAAATATAACCAAACACAGAGATTCTGATTATCCTCATGAGGAATATCCAACCACCACAGAAATCTTTTTCCTCTGAAGGTTATTTAATGCTCTGAGGAAATGCTCAGAACATAATGTTAATAGAAGCACTAGTGAAACAGCCACCCCACTGACGTACACACATAAAATGGAAATCAGGCTGAAGGAAATAGCCCGGACATCAGTAAATACCTTTAGGATTTAGGGTGACTTTCATTTCCTCCTTTATGTATGTCCCAATGTTTCTGAATTTCCCACAATGAATGTGTCCTTTAACAGGAAAAAAAAGAGTTCAGTATTGTGTTTTTACCTGAGCAGTGTTCTGGGTTTGCCATTTCTTTGACTCTCCACTGATCCTTGGAGATGAATGGCAGTCAGAACTGAGGCATGAACTAATAGAGACTTCGAAGAGGTTTATTCTCATCCGTCAGATTACGCAAGCCATTGGCCCTGCCTGTAGCCACGTGGCCACCGCTTCCCAAGCTGGAGCCAGACCTAAGTGCTTCTTTGTCCATTTATTTGCATCCCAGTGTCGCCTCTACGATCTCCGAGCAGACAGGGAGGTGGCCATCTATTCCAAAGAGAGTATCATTTTTGGAGCATCCAGCGTGGACTTCTCCCTCAGTGGTAAGATTTTATATTTTTAAAAGAATTATGTATTTTATTTATTACTGTTATTATTTTCTTTATTTTTAAAAATTTGACTGGAGAGAGAAAAAGGGGAAATGAGAAAGCAAGCCACCAGGTCCAGGACTCGAACTGTGGTTGGCCATGTGGAAGCCCAGTGCCTTAACCATCATAACACCTGCTGGTTCCAAGGTTTCATTTCTGAAACTTCTCCAGGACTATAAGATAGGACTTAAATGAACTTAACTCTGTCTTGCCTTCAATCAGCTAAACTTGCCTGAGAATCAATATGCTAAATAATTCACTCTCGGACCAGTTTCTCCCGCAGTTCTCCACCTCACCCTTTGTCCAGCCCCTTTCACTCCAGGGAAAATGAAGCCTGAGCCCCACCTAAGCTCTCCTTCCAGGTCATGGTGTCAGAGCTTCACAGTGCCCTCAGGCATTTCCTTCCTGCCTCCCTTTCTCTCCATACCCCAGAGAGGACTTCACTAGTGGTGAGAGGGAAGCGGGAGTCTCCTCTCAGGGCTCCTGGGCCCAGACCAGGAAGGGGATGGTGCTAGTGAAGTTAAAGCAGAGCCGACAAGCTGGGTCACTGGGCCAATGTCCCTGTGTCCAGAGACACAGCCCCTGGCATGAATCTGTGCCTTCCAGCAAGATCTGCTGCCACTGCCTGGAACCTCTTTTCCCTGTATAGCAGACAGGGAGGTGGCCATCTATTCCAAAGAGAGTATCATTTTTGGAGCATCCAGCGTGGACTTCTCCCTCAGTGGTAAGATTTTATATTTTTAAAAGAATTATGTATTTTATTTATTACTGTTATTATTTTCTTTATTTTTAAAAATTTGACTGGAGAGAGAAAAAGGGGAAATGAGAAAGCAAGCCACCAGGTCCAGGACTCGAACTGTGGTTGGCCATGTGGAAGCCCAGTGCCTTAACCATCATAACACCTGCTGGTTCCAAGGTTTCATTTCTGAAACTTCTCCAGGACTATAAGATAGGACTTAAATGAACTTAACTCTGTCTTGCCTTCAATCAGCTAAACTTGCCTGAGAATCAATATGCTAAATAATTCACTCTCGGACCAGTTTCTCCCGCAGTTCTCCACCTCACCCTTTGTCCAGCCCCTTTCACTCCAGGGAAAATGAAGCCTGAGCCCCACCTAAGCTCTCCTTCCAGGTCATGGTGTCAGAGCTTCACAGTGCCCTCAGGCATTTCCTTCCTGCCTCCCTTTCTCTCCATACCCCAGAGAGGACTTCACTAGTGGTGAGAGGGAAGCGGGAGTCTCCTCTCAGGGCTCCTGGGCCCAGACCAGGAAGGGGATGGTGCTAGTGAAGTTAAAGCAGAGCCGACAAGCTGGGTCACTGGGCCAATGTCCCTGTGTCCAGAGACACAGCCCCTGGCATGAATCTGTGCCTTCCAGCAAGATCTGCTGCCACTGCCTGGAACCTCTTTTCCCTGTATTCTCTGCATGGCAAACTCGTACTCAGCCCTCAAGAGACAACTCCCCTGTCAGCTCAAGTTTATCTACTTAAACTCAGGGTGTGTGTGTGTGTGTGTAGGTTTTTGTTTGTTTTAAGACAGGCTCTTGTGGGGTCCGGCAGGTGGCGTGGAGGTTAAGAGCCAACTGCGGTTCGAGTCCTGGACCTGGCAGCTTACTTTTCACTCTCCCTCTCTCTCTCTCTCTTGCTCTGTCCCTCTCTGATCAAATTTAAATAAATAAATAAATAAATGAAGTTAAATAAAATAATTCTTTAAAAAAAAAAAAAAAAAGACAGGTTCTTGCTGTGTCACGATCCTGCCTGAGCCTCCCAGTGGCTAGGACTTTAGGCACATGCCAGTGTAGAAATCCCACATGGCCCTGACCTGAATAGCAGCGTCTAGCCACAGCTGGGCCGAAACTCAAGTTTTGCATGTTTTAACTACTAAAGGATGGAAAGGATCCATGTGTGTCCATAAGGTCCTCCTCAATTCCCCTTCCCTGTGGCCCCGTAATACTTTGCACACAGGGAGCATTCAGCCACAGCTCTTGCCATGTGCTACTCGTCCTGCACAAGGGGCAGGGACTGTGCGTTTCCACCCCAGGGACAGTGCCTGGCACACAGTGGGTATAAATCTTTTTTTTTTTCAATGAATGAATGAGTGAATGAATGCACGAGTGAATGAGCGACAGCCATGAACTGGAAGGAAGGAACTGGTTTATAACCATCACATCCTGCCCCCAGGTCGCCTGCTGTTCGCTGGCTACAACGACTACACTATCAACGTCTGGGATGTTCTTAAGGGGTCCCGAGTCTCCATCCTGTTTGGACACGAAAACCGCGTTAGTACTCTACGCGTCTCCCCTGATGGGACGGCTTTCTGCTCAGGATCATGGGATCACACCCTGAGAGTAAGAGAGGTGTTTTCTCTTTTAATGTGTGTGAGAGGAGAGATAAGAGGTGATGGGCCAGAGTCCGCTGAGATGGGCCTGGTCGGCAGAGCAGAGCCTGTGGTCAGCTCTGCCTAGAGCCACGGGAGAAATGAGCTGCCTGGGGCGGTGGGGAGTGCCCATCAACCCGGGGTCCAAGCATGGATTAGACGGCATGCAGTGGAGGGAACACCTGGGCTAAGTGATCCAAAAGGTTCCTCGTGACCCTACGTACCTGGTTTTGGTGGTTCAAGCCTTTGGCTAAAATGACCCTCCGTACCCCTGGTTTTGGTGGTTCAAGCCTTTGGCTAAACACAGATGACCCATCTTCCCTCCCTGTAGTGTGGGGTTCCAATTACTGTTATTGACCTTGTCATGACAGAGGTCACATACCCCTGTGGGGCCCACAGAGGGACTCTGGGAGGCCTAGGAAGGCCCTGAAATTCCAAGTGGCATCTATGTACACTTCTCCAGGAAAAGTACCCTCATGGCCTTCCTCCGATTCTCCATGACCTTGTTGAGTGTTGGCTACCCCCAGAAGTGACCAAAACAGCCTGTCCATGTGGTATTGCTTACCCGAGTGTGGCAGAGGACAGGCTTGACGGAGACCTGGTAGCATCTCAGAAGGAAAAAGCGTGTGTATGTGTGAGGCTTCTGGAGTCCAGTGTAAGGCAGGTCTTTTGATGGAGGGACTTAACTAGGACTGGACACATTTATGCCATAATATAGTTTAAGATTGCTGGGTACAGGGTGAGGGGAGGAGAGGCTTTCAAAGGAAGTCTTTAAACTCAACAGTGCTTCGATGCTCTGTATGGTCCTGAGGTGTGGTGTCTTTGCTAAAGAGGATAAGTTGAGTGGTCTAGGTGTAGGATAAATGGATGAAAAGATTTTTGAAAAGTTCCTGAAACCAACAAAAAAAGCTATTTGTGAGTTCACCTTCCTGGGCAAGAGTGTCCTAAATTAGTAAAGTTGTGGTAATGTACACAGTGAGATTTATATTAACAGATGGGTACTGTTCTCAACAGAGAAGTTACCAGTCCCTAGTCAGGAGGCCACTGATGCCCTACCCATGACTAGGTAAGGGACAAAGGGGTCAGGCCAAAGAGGCACCTCTGAGTTGCTAGGGAAAGCATTATCCTTCTCAGGCGTTTTGTATACATGCATATAGAGAGAATGAAAGTTGTCAAGTACTAATTGATTAAAAATGATCTGTTTCTGTCATCACAGGTCTGGGCTTAATCGTCTTTCCACAATGCACGTGTCCATGATAGGATTTGAAATCTTCACGTTAAGTGTGTGTCACTTTTAGAGGCGTGCAGGCTTCACCACAGTTTAGCATCAGGAAGCAACTCCATGCTCAGAGCCCTTGGAGCGGCTCCCACGTGACCGGCGTAACTGCCGCCCCCAGAGTAGACCAGCGCGAGCCCTCCACACTGTGAGAACACCTTCGAGTACCATCGTCCCTCCCTGCAATGCTTTCTAAAGTTCATTTGTTCTTCAGTCTATTCCAAATGAATCTAGTCTAGACTTGTTCTGTTACCAGTAGAATGCAGCGTTTAGTGTATTCTGTATTATCCGCAGGTTTGTTTTCAGAGCACTCTAGCATCTGATTTTTCTCGGTGGGCACCATGAGTTTTGGAACCTTCCTTAGAAGTGCTGGTTTTATGGCCTACAGGAGAAGGACTCCGTTCATGGATTTGGACTAGAAGAAAATTCCAAGTGTCGTTAGACAAAATCACTTTTTTGTGAGACCAGCAGTTGGCGTAATGGCTAAGTCATTGGACTCCCATGTAGTCGACTGCGGTTTGAGTCCCGGACCCGGTGGCTTAAACTCACGCCGGGCACATGTGCGTGTGTGCCCAAGATCCTGAGAGGAGAATAGAGGAGAAGAGATTGCGGCGTGGCCATCCCCCCAGGGGGTGATTTCTCACTTTCTGTCTCTCTGTCTCTCTCTGTCTTTCTGGTGAGCGTACGCGCCCTATAGCAAAAATCCTCTAAAAAAAATCACTTTTTTGTTTTTCATGAAAGAGAGAACACATAGGAGGAAGAGAGAAGTAAAAATAGATATGTTTGATGGGATTTCATGTTGCGATCCTCTGCCCCACCTCCCGGTTAGGATCGCAGGTACACGTCATCATGCCTGGGCTCCAAACCCACACCCCCGTGTGGCCCCAGCCTCTTACAGCAGCACCCCATCTCTTGAACCACCACGGCTGAGTCGAAACCACCTTTTAAAAATGTGTTTTTATTATAAAAGTACCTTGAGCAGCCTCTTGTCCTGTTCTCTTCTTTCAGATAAAACATTTTCGTCTGTGTGAGCTATTAGAGAGGAAGCTGAGATCCGTGTAAAGTATACAGGATGTTTGGTTCATAAATTATGTGGTGGTGTGATATCGCACATCCTTTGGGCAATGCCTTTTCTTTCATTTAAAGGAGAAGCTGAGTGCTGTCTGTAACACAAATGCTCTGAAAGCAAGAACCTTTCTGTGAGGGAACCCAAGACAGTAAACTTATACGCAACTGATTAGTGCTGAGTGAAAACAGGTTAAAGTGGATCGTGTCCCTGTAAACTACGTTCATATGTGTTGTATTGCAGTTGTATTTACATATACAGGTTGATTGGTTGGTCTCGAATAACAATGTCTTTGTTCCTCTTATATTGAGAGAAAAATAATTTAAAAACAGTAGCTAGTCTTTATTTGAAATTGAGCAGTTTCAGATTTCTCCCTTCTGAAAGATACCAAGTGCTTTTTGATTCAGGAATTCTTCTTTCCCTTTCTTTAATCTTTTTTTTAAGACATAGAGGCTTATTCTCTATTTTAGAAAACTCTTCATACAAAAAGGTGGCAGCTTTACCTCAAAGACTGAAAGATCATCTCAGGGCCGGCGGTGATGTGCTGCTAGTTGAGGTGACTGGATCCCACATGGCCGACATGTGGACACCACAGCTTAAAAAATATGCCAGATACATGAGCATGTGTGCCCACAATCCCAAGAAGAGGGCAAAATGGAGGAGAAGGGTTCGTGACGTGACCATTCCCTATGGAGCTTTCTTACTTTCCCTCTTGGTTGTTCTCTCTCTGTATCTCCCTGGCAAGTGCACACACCCCCTGGCAAATTAAGAAAAAAAAATTTTTAAATAAGTCACCTCAGACACCACAGATCATCCCTGGATAGAGATTGCCCCATGAGGGGCCGGGTCTGACCAGGAAGGACTTGCCCTGCCTCAGGGCCATGGATCCAGCCTCCAGGACTGTGGGTCTTCCTCTGGTTCAGCTCTCACCTGCCTTCTTCTAGACAGAGTTCTGGCTTTGCAGGCCCAGCCCCAGGCCCTGCTCCTCTGGGAGGGCCTTTCGGACCCAGAGCTGGGTATAGCCAGGGGTAAGCCTGGACCTGGTGCTCTGCAAGCATCAGGTGTGTGCCAGACCCCTGCCCCTCAAAATCTCTTGTTCCAGTACCCTGATGAGCCAGTCAGCCAAACATCAGCCAGGTCTCTGTCCACTCATTTTAGTAAGCACGGTTGTGACATGTGGTCACTTGAGGAGCAAGTGTTTACTGAGGTGTTACTACCCCCAGGACCTGGGGTAGACCGAGGAGGGCCCTGCCCGCTGCCGCAGAGCCCCAAGGGAGGGATGCGGTGCAGAGGCACGTTTCTCAGCCACCGCGCTCCCTGGGTGGTTTCTAGTTGGGGCAGGGGCTTGGGAAATGGGCCCTGTGCCTGCCCAGCTGCTGCCTGCTGCCAAGGGACTTGCACCCTAGATCATATTCCATGGAACTCCCTGGCTCTGCTCCAGAACATTCCACAGTAGTCCTGGTCCAGCGCTTCCCCACTGTGACAGCATGCCCTTCGCCCTCCCACAGCATGGTTTTTCTCTGCACTCCCACCTGGGTCTCTGGCTCCCAAAACGAGGAGGATGGGGCAAAAGAAAGGTGGCCTTGGCTTGGGGAAGCCAGCTTAGGGGAAGGTCTGCATCTGGACGGATAGGGAGTATCTTGGGAATGTAAGCAGGTTAGCCAGGGCTTTCCAATTAAACCGCAGCTCAGAGGGCCCTCTGGAGCATCCATAGAATACTTAAGTGGCATGGTGGTTAGGGGCACTGGACTCCCACATGGCCGACCACAGTTCAAGTCCTGGACCTGGCAGCTTGCTTTCTCACAAGGCTTAGGCAGAAAGGACGGGTGGAGGATGGGCGTCTGGGAGAAGTACTTTTGCGAGGCGTGCGGTCAGCCTGTGGGAAATGCAGCCTGGCTGAGGCCTTGCTGGCCTGGGAGGAGGAGGTGGGCACTCCACACCCACTTCCTTCTGCCTCCCTGCGCCCTGGACTGCAAGGGGCCAGAGGCAGCAGGAGGCTGGAAAGGGCTTTGCGTAGCAGGCTCTGGTATGCAGTTGTAGCAAGTTGACCAGAAGGTGGCATGAGTGACACTCAGACTCCTAAGTTAGAGGGGACAGCTGGGGGACAAAGGCGAGGACCTAACGTTCCACAGTAAAATCATGACACTTGCAAATAAAACATGAGCGTGTATCTAAGCTTTACTTCACTGGTTAATTGATGAGGGAGCCAGTAAGATGTCAGATGTGTTCAGATGGGAATCTGAGGTACAGAGATGTGTCTTCTCACAGAATCCGTCTGGCTCACTTGCGCAGGAGCCATCTGCGTTGGTGGACGAGGCCCTGGGCAAACATGAGCTCAGGCCCTGCAGGAGGAGCCATGTCCTGGAGCCCATGCCTAGGCTCCGTTCCTGCGCCGTGAGCTCCATGCAGGCCCAGTGAACAGGAGCTGCAGCAGCTGGGGAGGGAGGCTGCTGCCGTCCATGGAGCACAGGATTTTGTCCATCCAGTTACGTCTCCTCTGCGGAGCGTGCCCTCAGGTCCCACACGAAACTCAGGCTGTGGCCACAGACCTCTTTCCAACATGTCCTCGTCACAGGTCTTCCTCGTCACTTCACTCTTTCTCAAGGCACTGTGTGTCCACCCGAATCAGTAAACTGCCTGTGAAGTACTGGAGCTCTGCACCCGGCCACCCTCCCTCCAGACATGGTGGGCTGTTGAATACACAGCGGGAGTTTCTGCCCCGGGGAGACTTCCTTCACCACAGCCACCCCCAGTGAGCGCGAGAAGACTGCAGCTGTCCACTTCCCCGTGGTACCAGCACCTCAGACAGACAGACCCCAGCTTCGGTTCTCAGCCCGCCAGCCATAAGAAATACCCCCAAATCCCACAGAGGACACAAGGCAACAGGACTTGGGAACCATTCTGGTCCCTCTGGACCTGCCCGAGTTCAGTCTCTAACGAGCCACTTCCACGTGAGGCTGGATTGCCGCTGTGTGTGCCCAGCTTTCTGGCTAGGTAGGTCAGACAGCACCCAGTTCACGATGGGAGCTCCATTGTGAGGCCACCTGGATCCCGTGAGGTATTCAGCCTCTCCCAAGGCCACGTAGCAACCAGAATCTGCCTCTCAAACCGAGAAGTTACTGCAGAAAACGAGAGTCCTCAAAATGCCAGCAGTCCGTGCTGCGCCCTGCGAGTGCTTGCTAGAGGCTCCATATGGCACCTCGTTTCACACTCCCAGTCCCATTGCAGCTGCTGAGTCCTAAGACGCATCCCGCAGCACTACTTTACGGCAGCCAGCCCGCTGGTGGAGTTGAACTCACACTCACATGTGCTTCCTGCCTCCAAAACCCTCACGGCCTACTGTTACATAGGGAATGTTCGTGCTCCTCCTCCCCCAAGTTCATAGATCGAAACCCTGACCCGCACCTCAGTGTGATGCTATTAGGAGGTGGGGCCTTCGGGACACACTTGCACTGGGAGAATGCAGCCCTCATGATGGGATTAGTGTCATGGAAGGGACCCTGGCGCTGCATGTGGTGTCACTTTGTGAGCCATACGGGAAGGCCTGGGGCTCTGGGTGTGGGCTGAGCCATGCAGGCTTTCACCCCAGGAGGGATATGTCGTGCTTCAGACCACTGAACCCCCAGAAGTTTCACTGCTAGGACCAATTCTGGAGCTGTCTGGGTCCAGGCAGGAGGAAGAAGACATTGGGTAACATGAACAGAGGAAGTTTAACGTAAGAACCTAAGTGTTGGCTGTAGCAGGGGCCTTGAGTAAGTAGAAAGTAGAGGACTCTAAGCAATAACCAAAGACACTGCCACACCCTAGGACGGAATACTTCTTACAGTATGGTGGCCATCATTACCTGGGCCGTCACAGCCTGTTCTGTGACCACCCACCACACTGCCCTGGGTCCTTGTGGCCAGGGAGCACGTCTTGTTCCCTGTTCTCGCTCCAGGGCTGGGGGTGGGGCTGGCACCCCAGAAGCCCTGACTAGATATGAGTGAATGCCTGCCAGTGTTGGTCCTCCCACAGTCCCCAGGAGAGTCAGCCTCTCTCCCGCCAACATTGGCCTGGCCCAGTCACCTCTAGACACACCTGGGCACTTCCATCTAGCCAAGAGGTGCTCATGACACCTGCAGGGGAGCCTGGCAATCAGCCTCTCCCTAAAAGGATGCGACAGCCCAGCCCGGCCTCCCAGCCTCCCAGCCTGTCCCCTCAGGTTCTTAGTCCCCAGGCCAGGAGTGCAACAGTGACCCCAGAGAACCTCACACAGCCGTGACTGCTCGGTGAACACGCGCTGCGCCGGCCTGGCCCTAGGACTCTAACAGGTGCAGGTGGGATTCCCATCAACGGCGCCTCTGATAGAGAAAAACAGGTGCCGGGGTAGCAGGGGGTAGCCCGGGCTAGAAAGCAGGTGGGAGGGCGAGGCCGCGGCAGAGGCCAGGCTATGGCAGACCCGCTGAAGGCGCGCACCGAGCGGCTGCTGACCGACTACCTGGGGTACTGCGCCCGCGAGCCCGGCGCCCCAGAGCCGCAGCCGTCCTCTCCCGAGGCCGCTGTGCTGCGCTCCACGGCCGCCCAGCTGCAGCGGCTCCACCAGCCCTTCTTCGCCCGGGGCCGGGGCTACCCCGGGAACCCCCTCGAGCTGCTGGGGCGG